TACTTTCTTATAAACTTTGGTTCTTAGCTAACTCCTTCTGGAAGAAAGTTGTTAATATAAAAAAATACGAAGAATACAGCTATAAAGGTTGGTTTGACAATTTTGATAAAAAATTTTCACGTCACATTTAAGGTCAAACGTCCAATTGAAAAGTACTTTAAAATTACCATTACACAATATAAAAAAGATCGTCATTTCGTGATAATTACGAAATTCCACTATGCTTGCTGTGATCAGATAATCTGCATTTTGTTAATATTAATTATTCTCAGTCTTCTGATTCATTCTTAAAAATCCGGTTGAAAATTCTCATAATACTATTTTTACTTGTTATTAATTCTTTTTATTTAATTTCTTTGCTGATGCTAACGCTGATCTATTTACTGTCCAAATGAAGCCTGTTGAAGGCCCTAATTACTTACCATTTTTATTAATTGTATGTAAATATGTATTTATTGACTCGCTCTAACATATTAATATGTTCATATTACAGATCGTCCGTTTTTTAACTATAACCAGTTTAAGGTGAATTGGGTGTATCATGTATATAAAGGTTTGAGGTGAGCCTGTATGATTTTCTTTGTAATGATTTATATTTCGAGGAAGGAATGATGCATTAAAAAAAATTTTTTAAAAATTTTGCTGTTTCACGAAAGAAAATGACAAGAAAAGAAAGAAAATAATCAAAAGAATTGGAAGAAACTGGAGAAAAATCATTGAACAAATATTAGAAGAACAAGAAGCTGATAAAGCGGAGATATCGAAAAGAGACCGAGAAGAAATCACTAGGACAAAAATGGACCAATAAATGGGGAAGAAAAAATAGATTTGAAAATGTATTATATTTATTATAGACTATCAAGAAGAAAACCCGAACTCAATAGAATTCGGTTGATAATTTCGAATGAACTAGTACAAATAGAAAAATCATTACCAAAGAAGTCACAAAGGATCCATCAACCTTGGAATAATAACTTAGCCCAAGATTCCAGATCTATGAGATAAGATAATGAAGGCTATCAAGGACTAGTAATGAAGTGTCGGGGGGAACCTGGTAACGAGTTCATGCAAAATTATCACTAAAATCAATCCAGTAGGAGTACGTAAAACCCCAAGTGGTTTTCACACGATACTCAAAATGATTAATAAGATATTAATAATATTTAAAAGAAGGATTAATAATCCAAGAAAATTTTATGAATGTCTTATAATCATTATCGTAACTCTTTTCTTTAAATTTCAATTGGAAATTATTATACATTAATTGTTGCTAACAATATTAATTAATTAATTAACAAACATTGGTAAAAGAAAATATGCGATAAATGACTAGTGCTCATTCTTTATGAAGTTCTAGATTTGATAAAATAAAAACCAAAAATTTTTTTGAAATAATTTTTTGTTCTGTAAAAATTAGCAATAGTTGTTGACATAATTAATATTGAAAGCCCATTCGAAATTAGTTTAATTGCCGATTCGCAAATGAATGAGAGGAAACCCCAAAATCTGCGCGTCCTACATAGAAAAATCTTTATTCATGCATAAAAGTAATGCCACAAAAAAAAATAATACAATTTTTTGTATAAAGGTTGACAATTAGCAATTTTTGTGACGTTTTGCCCCAAATTTATTATAAAATGCAATCTTTCTCTCATTCATTTCACGTATTAGTATCACCAAATCAAAAAACCTAAGCTGCAAAATAATGATAATTTATTGATTCGTGTTATAACGAAATCTTTAAACATTTTGCCTCCACATAAAAACATATAAAATTAGTTGAAACGCGTCCCCATAGATTCGTTGAAACGAGGTTTGACTGTATACGGGTTTGCTTAAAAAGTAATCAACCTTTGAACGCTTTGGGATAGTGCTTATGATCATAAGGATAATAAATAATAAGGATAATAAGAAAAAGAAATTAACAATAGAAATACTCAATATTCAATATTCAATGATGATTAATGATTGATAAATGCTGAATGCTGAGTGGCTGAGAACTCGTTTTTTCATAATGTAATTTTTTGGGAGCGTGAGGTTAAAATTTGTTATTGAAAATGCTTTTTGAATGTTTGGGATTTTGATTCATGAAATGATCATTGCCTTTTAAAAATGGTTTGAATCTAACCGGGAACCACATCAATGCCGTCAATGCTGCGATCAGATGATCTGTATTTTGTTGATTATTATTATCCTCAAAAATCCGGTTTTCTGATTTCATTCTTAAAAATCCGGTTGAAAATTCTCATAATACTATTTTAATTCTTTTTTTCTTTCACTCACATGCTTTTTATTTAATTTCTTTGCTGATGCTAACGCTGATCTATCTGTTGTCCAAATGAAGCCTTAATTAATTACCATTTTTTATTAATAATAATGAAACTAACGATATTAATATTAATTGTATATAAATATGTATTTATTGACTCGCTCTAACATATGTTCACATTACAGATCGTCCATCTTTTTTTTCTATAACCAGTTTAAGGTGAATTGGGTGTATCATGTATATAAAGGTTGAGGTGAGCCTGTATGTTTTTCTTCGTAATGATTTAATGCTTGTTTGGTATTACTACCTAAACTACCTAAATGATAGCCCATTTGTGCAGTATATGATGAATTAAACAAAAAAATTAAAAGGTTTTTGATCTAAGAAAGAAAGAAAATAACCAAAAAAATTGGAAGAAACATCATTGAACAAATATATTAGAACAAGAAGAAAGTGACAAAGCGGAGACACCACTTAGAATCACTAGGACCAATAAACGGGGAAGAAAAAATATATTTGAAAATGTATTATATTTATTATAGACCATCAAGAAGGAAAACCGAACTCGAGCGAATTCGGGAGAAACAATGATAATTTCGGATCAATGAACTAGTACAAGTAGAAAAATCATTACCAAAGAAAGTGATTGAGTATAATTGTCCTGACTACCCGTCGGAAATTTACTCTGGCAAATCAGAAAGAGTTTGTCGTGATAATAAATCCGATTTACTCAGAATGATTATTAAGATATTAATAATCATTAATAAGTCAAAAATTTTATGAAATTCGCAATTCACAGCAGATTTGATAAATTTTTTTGATATTATAAACTTCTATGAAGTTTATCAAATCTAGTGCGTCAGCACTGCAGCTGGCACTAGATTTGATAAAAAATTCTATGAATTTCATCAAATCTAGTTGTAGCAGCAGATTTGATTTAATTTCTATGAAATTCTACAATTACCAGTAGGTTTGTGATAAAAATAAAAAAAACATTTCTATTTTTTTAGATCAATTAATCTTTCCTATGTATAAATTTTTTTATTAGTAAAAACACTTATGTTCTTAATAATAAGTATTTTTTTAGAAAATTTCACGAAAATAAAAAGAAAAATTTGCTCCTTATAGAAAAAACGACCTCATTAAAACTTGTACCATTTTTATTTCTCAGACCTTGAAGTTTAAACAAAAGTTAAGGACAATTTTGTCCGCAATGGATGATATTCAATATTAATATGATTTGGCCACCATTTTGTCTGCAGATGGTACAGTATATTGGCCATTGACGATTACAGATAATATTAACATCAATAAAATAATTGAACAAAATTATCTACAACATCAATATTAATGTGTGTTATTTAACTGATTTCAAGAGCAATAGTCCTTTCCGATCTGTCCGGCGTTTAGCAGTTTTGTTTGATCCCTAAATTTTTTTGCAGTATGCCCCATTTAATTTAAATATTAATATTAATATTTCGAACATTCCACGATAAACACACGATATAGAAAAAAGGCTTTAAATATTTTGATGGATTTATGTTTAAGAAATTGGTCGGAATTTCAAAATTTTCTTTTGAAGCTTTTTAATCTCGGTATTGTAAAAAGTTTAAAGGGTTTTTCCAATGGATCAAGAATATTTTTATAATGAATGATATTTGTCTATTACTATTGTCAGATCACCAGCTTAAGATCGGCCGTGAATCATTTTTTCGTTCTTGATAAATTCAATAAGCAATTCTTTAATTTTCTCCTTGTTATTTTTTTAAAATACTTTTGATAGTGCCATCTATAATGTTTGGATTTCATAGTAAGTTAGTTTCATATTTATATTTTTATATCGGAATAATACAATTGATCCCCTGGGTCATGTAAGCTTCCCTCCCTGCCAGAAAGGGCTTATATGTTACCCAGGGGATAATCAACTAGTATCATTTATATATGTGGACTAGGAAAACAATTTTCTCCAAATAAGATTATACACTAAATTAAAGTATAACAACAAAAACCAAGATGTTTGTTTACCTTGCACAGGAATAGGAAAATTTGGATTCAACTGAGCTGCTAGATCATATTTGCTTTCTTTTTATGGAACTAGACCTAATGCTAAGAGAACAGGGGACATATCAAAGATGTCAGGGAGATGAACAAGAGTGAATGAAATGATGATATGCTACCCCTTCTCAAAGATACAATTGGTAAGATCAAGTGGATATATCAACCAATTGGCTACAACACAAGTATTCCTCCTGGGTGAACTCATTTCTCCATCTGGGAGTTGTACCTAAATATAAAAAAGGTTATGGATTGGTTGCTGTAAAGAGATCCTAATCAGCAAGGAAACATGTAGCTCAAAAACCAAAAGCTATTATTAATTAGTTGATGGAGGACTACAGTTCCCAAAAGGTTATGTAATCATCTCACCCAAACAACCTATCCCTAATACTTCCAATGAAGTTATTATCAATCTGACTCTGAAACTTGAGTTCAAATGAAGAGGATTATCAAGAAATTAAAAGAGAACTCAATTTTGTGAGTTTTTCTGTACATAACTATTATTTAGGGAAAATATCTAGTATAGATGAGGCAGATGCTTTTGAATTAAAGATATGAATATTTTCATGTTATGCAGATTCGGTGGGTTTTATAGTACCGTTTGGCAGGCCAATTAGAGATTACCAATTAGTAGGTTCTATGAATAGTGAATGCAGGGCTGAATTTATCCAGAAGCCTATGCTACTAAATGAGGTAAAGGTAAAAAGAATAAAGTTTCTACCCCTTAGCAAGAAAGCAAACTATGATATTAACAACCAAGCACTTACCTGGTGTGTTACTTGCTGTTAGCTTAGTGTTTTTAAGAGCATTCTTTCTATTGTGGTATCTAGCCCTGAAATTTCCTGTGACATAACATTTAATGATTTTTTTCACAATAAAATTATAAACTCAGTTTTAGTTTGCCCTTTAACTGGCTCAAACCAAATTATTCGGATCTTTATTTAACTTAATAATAAATATATCGAGTGAATTATTTTATTTAATATAATTAATTAATTAATTATGCATATATATTATAAATAATTAACCAAAAAAACCAAAATTTAATTAAACAATAAAGTTAAAACGAGGAGTAGTATTAGTATTACTACCCATAGATTCAAATTCATTATCTAGTCTATTGGTTGCAGTAAGAACATGAGAAGCTCCACCAATTGTTTCACCACATTCTGGACAACTAAAATTAATTTATTTTAATATAAGAAATCAAAATACACATTTAGAAATAATATAAACCCACACACTCATATATATATATTACCTGCTTGTTACCATTGCTCCACCACAATCTCCAATAGTATACTAAAATAAATAAAAATAGAATTGATAATAAATAATTAGCGTACATGCCTTTCTTTTTATTAAAAAATAATTAAATTTTTTTTTTATAACATACAGGATGACCATTGGGACATTGATACCAATGACCTATTCAAAAATAAAAATTAAATAAATAATAACAATTAGTAGAGTTTTTTAAAAACATAAAATTAGTAACCAAAAAATCCATTACCAGATCCTCTAAATTCGCTAGCCATAGCTCTATGAATTTCCATCTTCTCTTCTCTTGTCAAAAGACCAGCCTTCGCTGCCACCTCTTCAATTTCATCTATATCTTTTAGAATTTTATTAATTCTCTCAATACATTGACCTACAAAATGGTCCATATTTTGCATCTTGAATAACTTATTATTTGTAATTGTATCACACTCTTTACGTAAACTTTTACATTTATCTAACAATTTCTCTTGTTTTTTTTTGGTCATTGATCTTTGTTTTGGATTTCTTAATTCGAACCTGGCTATAGAACATTCAAACTCCAACGATTCTAGATGAGCCAATGCATTCATTTTTTTGGATTTGGAAAGATCTGATGTAACAATTATTTCGTTAATGTGTCGTTTCCGTGACTTAATTAAAGCTTTATGAAGTTTTAGCCAAGCATTTCGCGATTTTGTTCTATTTTCATTGGAAACATTGGAAACTGAGTTATTAAGTTCAGTTATAATTGAAGTTACTTCTTTAAGCATCAAATTCTGAGCATTCAAGATTTCAAAAAAGGCTTCCAAATATAATCTTTTATCAATCTGTGGAGTAGGTATTCCAACTTGTTGTAGCGTTTCTTGTAATTTTTGCTGCTTCTGTCGTGCTGTATTAGCAACTCCAAGATTCAAGCCTGATTCAAAATTTTTTATCAAATCGTCATAATTGGGTTGTGATTTTGATTTTTCATTATATCTGAAACAACAAAAAATTTTAAAAAATTTAATTTTAAAGAACAAAATCTAGAATAGCAATTTTTATTCATCTTCCAGTAAAATAATACTTACAAATTTGTTACAGCAGCTTCAAATGCCAATTTATGCGGTGGGGTTTTTGTTGAAGATATTATTGATGTTAATTCTTTATAGATCTCCAATAAATATTTAACATGTTTTTTCCAATCGGATTCCTGTGATGCAGCAATTGAATAAGCCTCGAGATTACCAAATTTTTCATAGCTTGTAACTTCATTAGCGTCAAATCGATAGTTTTTATTATCATTTTTAGTTTGATAATTTATTATAGGATTAGTACAATTTTTAATTATGCTTTCCAGGAATTTAGCCCTATTTGTTTCAAGTGTTCTAATGCTATTTTCTAGACGATCTTTTTGTGTCTTCAATTTCAATTCATAAGTCATTAAAAATTTCTTGTTTTGAACATCCAAAGTAAACTTCTTTATCACTCTACCATATCTATGAATATTTTTAATTGGCGCTCTACAATTAGGACATACTTTGATTTTACGAGGTTGATGTGTGATTGGTTTAATTGCTGTCCAACCTTGTGAATCGCCTTCATAGAAATCTTGCATTTCCATATGACCATCCATTGATTCCATTGTAAAAACATGACCACACTCTAAAACTATCATACGCTCTTCATTCCAATCTACATCCTCAAAAGTACTTTGCATCACCATATCCGCAACTTTAAACAATTTATATTATAATATTATTATCATAATTTTTATTTTTTCAAACCCCCCCCCCCTTTTAGATAGATTAAATTAAACAAACCTTGTCTTTTAACATTATCCGATGCGTGATTAATACAATATTCTTTTGACGGGCATGTTTCACCACAAACACCGAAACATTCACATCCACATTCCAATCTTTTACGACATTTTTCATTACAAGGTAATCTTGAACACGGAGCACCGCAACTCAAATTACATTGACCTTGATGTTCGCATTCCCAATCACAAGGCTCTGCACATGCTGCACATGGTTCAGAACATTTGAGTTTACATTTAGAATGTCGACACGAAATATTGCAAGAATCTTTACATAATGGACAAACTTTGCCCTTATGACAACTTTCTTTACAGATGTGCCCACAGAATTGGTTGCTATCACAAATCTTTTTACAAGGTGCGTGATGTGATCTAACAATGTCCTGCACACCGGTTAATGCATTCAAAGTATTTTCGCCTGCTTTCGCTGATCTTCTCTGACACTCGTGACATTTAGATTCACATACATGCTCACATGGCAGAAATGAGCCGCATCTTTGCATACAATCAACATCAGAAAGATTTTTCCAACACTGTTAAGGTTAATGTGCATGCATTTTTGTAACGAAATATTGTTAAATAAGTTAATATGAACTTTAACAAAATGTTAACAATGGCTAAAAATTAATTGCATCGTTAAATTACCTCTACTGATTGTTCATGTTCACAATGAACTAGACGACGAAGAACTCTTTTTCGGCATCGAACAGATGTGATATTACGTTCTTGATCACATTTGGCGTCCCTATAATTATGCCCACATGGCAAAAGAATATCACCAACTGCAAATTTACACGAACCACAATCATCTCCACATAACCTAGAGCATGGATGTCCACACTCTCGATGCATTCTTGCGCAAGGTTTTTTACAATAAACAGTAACGTGCTCGGGATCATCGGAATGACATTTGTATGGACCTTTAGTTGAAATAAAATAAAAATTTTTAATGAGCTTTTTTGTGTTAAGAAAAAATTCAAATATAAAAATTCTTAATTCTTACATGAATGACCACAAGGTAATTGTTGTTTACAAGTTTCAAAACATCCACCATCTGGTGAAACTTCTTCAAATTGTTTCGCTTCTGTTATCACGTTCTTATAAAATTTATGCATATTACATTCAATAGGAAATCCGGTTCCAACTTGTTCGCGAGATCTTAGAATGTTTACAACAGTTTTCCACATTTCAGAACCTGTTGACATTAGATCAGCATTACCAAGCAAATACATTCCATGTTTTGCACGTGAAAGTAAAACATTTGTACGATTTGTAGATTTTAAAAATCCAATGGAACCACTTATTTCTTCGCCTGAATTGAGAGAATTACGCACAAGTGATATGATGACAATCTTTGCTTCTTCACCTTGAAAGTTATCGACAGTTCTCAAAGTAACCTTTTATTATTGATATTTATTATACTTAATATTTCAAATAATCCCAAAAAAACATAATATAAAAACGAATTAATATAATAAATGGTCATCTACCTTTTGATTTAAATCTTTTTTTGTTGCAACTTGAAACCTTTGAGTATCCGATAAAGAGGATTCCTCATGTGCATTCTCACTTCCTTCATTATCTTCTTCAGTCATAAGTGAAATTTCTTTCTCATCTCTCTCGTCCAAAAGCACGACAAATTTTTTTTTTAATGCATCTCTTATCTTGATCATTTGAGCAAGATACGGAGTTAAAACTGCAATGTCTCCCTCACTTGTATAACCATTCCTTACAAAATATTTCACCATTTCCACAATCATTTCAACTTCATATTTATTTGAATGCGATCTTATTGCATGTTCATTAAGATCAACATCCTCTTGGTGTCTATGATCAAGGAAGTAGACATTACGTTGTACTCCACGAACATTTTCGTATTTCTTGGTATCAACATGGTCCACGAGATTTGGATATAATGCTCTTCTTACAAGATCAGATATTTCCTTGGCTCTCATTCGCCTTTGAGTAGTTAATTGTGACTTTTCCAGCTTCATTGCATTATCACCATGCACAAGCCTTTCAAATAAACTTTTATCCAATTGATATTTTACTCCAGTTCTTGAATCCATTGTCAAGTTATATGTGGCACAACGTGGTCTTAATTGATTATGATCCCCAATAAGTATCAAATGTTGTGTAGACGGCGATAAAGAGCTCAAGATATGTGGCTCCAGTACTTCGCCAGCCTCTTCACAAACAATTATTCTCGGATTAACAGATTTTATGAGAGACTGATATTTCGCAGCACCATGAGTTGTCATTCCAATCATATCACATTTATCCAAGACCAATTTTCTGCCTTGATCAAAAATCCTTTCCAGCTCTTTTGCACTTTCTTTGTATTGACGTTGTAAATTAGATAATTCTTCAGTCAGCTCTTTATTTATTTCTTGCTTCCAAAAATCATGCAAGGTCAATCTTTCTTTTTGTGACATTCGCCAGATATTTGTGTCTTGTAGTAATTCTTCCAAATTCCTATCCCTTTTTGGTTCAGTCCAGTCTATAAGATAACTGATAAAGTACTGATCCGTTTGGTCATCATCATTATCACCATCACGATTATTAGGATCTTCGAGAACAGTAAAAGGATTGTGTGTGGCTTTCTTCTTGCCATTTGCATTTTTGTCGGGTTGATTTAAACGAGCTTTATGTTGACGTGCTTTTTGAAGATCAGTGCCACTTAACCACTGTTCGAACCAATGTCTATTAATGCGACGGCCTTTTTTATCCTGAGTTTGCCATTCTTCATCATCATGTGGGCTGTGTTTAACATTGTAAGTATCAAGGAGAAAACTCGGTATTTCGTCTGGCTTCCTATTAAATTTTGAATAAAATTCATGATGTTCATCTACCAAAAATGATGCTACATTTTTCCAAGTAAGCCGTGGTGAGTTCAGTTGATCATTAATCTTATTAACGCTGTCTCTTATTTCATCAAGTTTTTTGTGGGCTTGCGCTAATAAATATCGCTCACGAGGAGTTTTTGGTCTATTACGAACAATATCCTCAAGATTAAATTCTCTAATTACTTCAGATTTTGAACGAGATCCTAATCTTACGAAATTATCTAATCCGGCTTTAAAGAGATCCTATTAAAAAAAATATTAATTTGTAAATAGCGAATAATTATAGGTATAATTACAATTCAAAAAACAATTTTATTTTAGTGCTCATCACCTCTAAAAATTGGTCGAGTGCGTGATTTGTAAAACAGATTGTCAAAATTGGACCTAATTTAGTTGCTTCGCGATTTTGAGGCGCAAGAAGAACCCTCATTAATTGAACACCAACATATGATTTTCCTGTTCCAGGTGGACCTTTTTATTTTTTTTAAAAAAAAAAGTAATTCATTAATATTTTTTTTTTTTTGATAATTTTTTTAAAAAAAATTTGTACCTTCAATCAACGCGACTTCTTTAGAAAGTGATGATACAAGAGCACCCGCTATGTTATTAAAAAAAAAAATTGTTTAAATAATATTTATCTATTATCATTAAATATCGCATATATATATAGATATTAATATTAACCTTGCGTATCATCTAATGAGCTATATTGAATAAGTTCATTAATTACATGATCATGACTTTTTTTGTCTGTGACATTCAAACGAAGGTTTCGATTTCGATTTTTAGGTGTAAGTAAAACCGACAAATCAAATTGAAACGAAGGGGCACTTGCATAAGTTGGAATTCCAACTTTTTTATTATCTTTATCAGTTGGAATCGATGCCAAATAATTTGTAAACGGCATTGTTTTAGGATCGATAGCTTGAAGAGTCTTTAAAATATGAAAATAAGATTCAAAATAGACACCAGTTGGTTCTACCATAAATCTATAATTTTTATTATTTTTATTATTTTTGTTGTTATTATTATTGATATTTATATCTTTAGATGCAATAGTATAAACTGAAATATCCATAAATTCAATTTCAACTTCACATGTGTTTTTGTCTTTAGCCATTGCCTTTTCGTTACGTGTTGCAACAGTACCAAAAAATAACTCGTAATTATTATTAACAGGTTCTTGATTATCAATTTCATTTATTCTTGTTGTTACTCGATTTAACATAGTCACGTCATCCATTGGCCATATCAAACAAACTAAACTACCGTTCATTAACTTTTGACTTTTTTCCCAATATTGTTGCCTATCTTTCTCAGTTTTTGCCGATCTCATGCGTGGTTGTTGAAAAGCAACTTTGCATAAAAGACCACGTTTTTTATCAACATTTATACTAGTGAATTTGATATCGTTGTATAAATGAAGATCGCCGCTATCTATTTTATTATTTTCATCTTTAAATCTACCATTTTCACGAAATCTTTTCAAACGAGCATCGTTATTTTTTGTGAATTCATTAAGCGTATTAATAAAACTACATATTCCATTTCTAAGCGGAGATAACATGTCCTCACGTAACAATCTAAACCTAATGTCTAGAAGACGTTCTGGACCATGAGGTAACCAGTGTTGTGCATCTTGTATTACTTCTGGCAAAAATGGCTCTCGATTACATAATATTTCTTCTTTTGTTGGTATAATTGATATTTTTGTAATATCACTATGGTCATTATTGTGTCTTGGACCATCATTTGAAAGATCGCCTATATTAAATTGTGTATGAAAAATGTCATTAAGATAAATAAACCATGACAAAAATTAAACAAATAGTCTAACAAATCGAAAAAAATGTATAATTATGTGTGTAAATATATGTGGTAAGAATACCTGGTGGATCATAAGTTCTCGCAGAATCAATTTTTAATCCAATTCCTTTGTAAAGTTTTGAAAAGAAACTTTGTGCTGTTGTAGTAGATTTGGTTGGTTCTTTTGGCTTATTATAAATGGTCAAATAACTTTTGAAGAGGTTCATTTCTTTATCCAAAATATTAAAAAAATAATTTCTACTATCCGGATTAGTAGCAATAGGATCGTGCGTATCAATTATTGAAGTCCTTGATTGGAAAGAAGATTTCCATTTCGTTATTGCAACTTCTAATCTGTCATAAACTTTAAACATGACAGGATCGCTAGAAAGATTTTTGAAACGCTTAAGAAGTTGATTTAACAATCTGACTATAACCAAAAAGAATTGACCAATCCTATAAATAATAAAATAAATTAATCGATAAATAAAAATAATTTCATAATTCCATTATTAAGTTATTAAGAATGATATAACTTACGAAGTTGGTATAAAAGAATCTGGATCGTCATTGAAAATGATCTCTCTTGCGTCACGATTGTCTACCAAGGAATTTCTTTCAACGATTATTTCCAACATAGTGATAACTTTTTCAGCAATAAATTGCTCCTTTAAGAAATTAAATAACAATAAATAGACATTATTTAATTGATAATAATTTTACAAATTTATAAGTTAATAATAAAATTTTACACAATACCATATTTGAACAAATAACAGAATATATTGCATGAATTTTAGTTTCATAAACAGAATTAATTATTCCTGAACGGATTAATAGAGCTAAAAATGGCAAAATGACTCTTTGATATGAAGCCACATTAGATTGTAAACCCGCATCAACTGATACTTCAAACATCACGATTTCACGAATTCTGTTCAACCCATCAGAACTCCCTAATCCAGTGACCAATTCTTCGATATCACTGCCATTTTTGTCAGTATCTATAAGACATGAATTAACAAAACGTCTTATATGATGTTGATTTTCTAGTCTCTTCCGAACTTTTCTTCTCCAAGTATTTTCATAAATATCGCTTTCCATAAGAAACACAATTTTATCACTACCGTCGTAAGATAATTGAGAAGAGCTGAAATTATTAGATAGTATTTGCTGTTGTTTTTGAACTTCTTCCGTAAATTGACGTGGATTATTTTGTACTGGAGCTTGTCTGAATTGTTGTCTTGCATTATTGTTGTTATTATCATTGGGCATAGCTTCGTCAAAGTATTCGGTCCCTCTCATATTATCATTATAATCGTTATTATCATGAAAGCCACGATCATTATTTCTAGAATTATTGTCACGGCCTCGACCTCTATGTCTGAATTGTTGTTGACTTGCATTATTGTTGTTATAATTACTATTATTGTTATTATAATTACTATTATTGTTGTTATAATTACTATTATTGTTGTAGTTATCATTTGGCATAGCTTCGTCAAAGTACTCGGTCCCTCTCATATTATCATTATAGTCATTATTATCATTATTTCTAGAAATATTATCACGGCCTCGACCTCCACCTCGACCTCCACCTCCACCTCGACCTCCACCTCTACCTCCACCTCTACCCCTACTTCGACCTCTACCACCACCTCTACCACCATTATTATGATTATTTCTTGCCATTCTAACAACAAATATTTGGGGGAATTAATTTATTAGAAACGATTATTTTATTTTATTATATATATATGAACATGTCATTGTTTCTTCATTTGGAAATACATCTTGCAAATCTGTGCCTATTTTATATCACAAAAAAAAACACGTATTACATTAAAAATCTATAACATTAAAAATTTTGTTATTATATTAAAATCTTTGTTTCATTCTTGTAGAAACTGTTTTCAAATTAGCGTAGACTTTTCCAGGTGGACTGCCTAATATTAAAGAAACTATAGCATCCTTGGCAACTCTGATGTTTTGAAATGACCCTAATATATGTATCGAACTAATAATATTTATATGTGGTAAAATATTAATTCACTTATAAATATCAAAAGAAATCTAATATAATTTATACATACGAATCAGCCAACACTATTCTGGTTTTCGAAGTATTTTCAATTGCAAATTTTACTTTTCCATTTTTCCCTGCTATACGACCTATAGCTCTAGATAGATGATCACCTTCTAAAGTTTTAACTATTTATTAAAAATAAATGCATGATTAAATAATAGAAAAGAAATAATTAAATAATTAAAAAAAAAAAATTCTTCCCACCATCTTTGATATCAAATGAATCTATATACAAATCATCTACACGTAATATAGCTATAGCATCCTTAAAATAAAAGAAGCCATCAAAGTTAGATGATTAAATCACTTGTATAATAAATACAAATATTTAGATGTAGATATTAATTACATCAACATCAAATCCCATCATAAAAGCCTTAACAAAATCAGCGGCTTTTTGTAATGCACTTGGATCGGTTGTATATTTGGATGTCTAGAAAATATTCAACGAAAAAGAGTTGTAAATTTTTTAAATAATCAATTTAACATAATTGAAATATCAATATAATTAATACTTTTAATTCAACGTTATTGGTCTTTGTATTCATTCTAATTTGCAAATTCAAATGTTTCACTAAAGGTTCGTAAATTTTTCTCCATTCCTTTTTCAATGGTGTGAATCGATTTGCCGGTACGTTAATTTTACGCATTTGTGTTGTGCCATCCTTTATTAACATATATATTTAAATTGTCCTGAATTAATTATCAATAGAAAAAAATCATATCATCAATAAATATATATTTACCATCATTTCATGAGCTTTCAAAGGTCTAAATTTTAATTTTTCATTATTATTATTGTTGTTGTTGTTGTTGTTGCTGCTGCTGTTAATATTATTATTATCGTCATTTACTACCACATCATCGTCAATTATCATTTGATCTTCATCAATGATCATGTTTTCATTAATTGATGACATTATTCAATTTTTGAATATAAATAAATAGATGATAATTTTTATTTTTTAAAATTTTTAAATCTAAAAATCGACAACCCCAAGATATAAAAAGTAACGTTTCACCAAAATAATTGTTCATTTTAAAATCGGCCTTATAGTAATAGAAATTAATAAATTTTGATGTCAATATAATAATAATCCATTTTTTAATTTATTCAAATCTTGCTTTTCAGTTGCCACCTTTCTTTTGGCATTCTACTCATTTACTTTATTATCAGTAAATATTACACACATATTTAAGTTTATATCATAATGGGAAATTGCCTATCATGTTTCTTTGGAAGTATGTTGTCATTATTAGTATTTTAGATCAAATTATAATTGGTTTTTCTCCTAATTAATATTAACATTTTTTATTATATTTTTTTTTAGAAAGAACACGAAATGGATTATATGAGCCTTTGCTACAAGAAAATGAACGTGAGGCAGTAGCTGATTTATTAACATATCTTGAAAGTAATTATGAATTTTGATTTAAATGCTCGTTATTATTCATTGTTTATTTGATTGAAACCATTAACATTTATTAAATGGTTATCTATTTTTTTTTATTTTTTTTTAGATCGTGCCGAAACAAATTTTTTTGAGGGTGACCCATTACGAGCTCTTTCTACATTGGCGTTCTCGGACAATGTAGAGTTACAACGTTCTGCTGCTTTAGCATTTGCCGAAATTACAGAAAAAGGTTTCCCTTAAATATTGTAATTTTTTCATTCATCAATTACAAAAGGAAAAAAATAAAGATCTATATCTTTATTTTTGGATCTTAACCTATCCAAATTATTTAATGCAAAAAAAAAAATTTATATCAAGATGTTAGGGAAGTAGACCGAGAAACAATGGAGCCAATAATGTTTCTTCTCAAATCTTATGATGTTGAAGTTCAAAGAGCTGCATCTGCTGCATTGGGAAACCTAGCTGTTAATAGTAATTATTTAGATTATATTCATTTATAAACGATATATTATAATCACCCATACTTTTTTAATGATTGAAAAACTTTTATATGTTTTTCAGCTGAAAATAAATTATTAATTGTTCAAATGAATGGATTGGAACCTCTAATTCGACAAATGTTATCTCCAAATGTAGAAGTTCAATGTAATGCAGTGGGCTGTATCACAAATTTAGCTACTCACGGTAAAGATAGGATTACTTTGTACATCAATTTATTTATTTTATTTCATTCTTTACTTTTATTTTTATTTACCATAATCAATTTCTTATTTAGATGAAAATAAATCAAAAATTGCAAGATCTGGTGCTTTAGTTCCGCTCACGCGTCTAGCACGTTCAAAGGACATGCGTGTACAAAGAAATGCAACTGGGGCACTGCTAAACATGACTCATTCTGGTATTATTATTGGTTTTTTATAAAAAAGATTTATTTAAAATGTACTTTAAATGCGTATGTTACTTAATTTTTATAGATGAAAATAGGCTACAACTTGTTAATGCAGGTGCTATACCTGTGTTGGTGAACCTTTTAAATTCACCTGATACGGACGTTCAATATTATTGCACTACTGCTCTTAGTAATATTGCCGTTGATGGTATGTAAATGTAATAATGTTAATAGTGCAATAATAAACTTTTTCCATTAACAATTTCATTTTATACATGTATATAATTTTATGTAGCAACAAATCGTAAGAAACTTGCTGCAACTGAATCAAGATTGGTACATTCTCTAATTGGATTAATGGATTCTACTTCATTAAAAGTTCAATGTCAAGCAGCTTTAGCATTAAGAAATTTAGCATCAGATGGTACCAACATATTTCCTATATATTATTGATAATTGTATATAATTTAAAAAAAAAACAATTTTAAATTTTTAGAAAAATACCAACTCGAAATTGTTCGTTCTCGTGGCTTACCGCCGCTTTTAAGACTTTTACAATCATCATTTTTGCCGCTTATTTTGTCATCTGTTGCTTGTATTCGTAATATTTCAATCCATCCACTCAATGAATCTCCAATAATTGATGCTAATTTCTTATCACCATTGATCCAACTTTTGGCCTATGAAGAGAATGAGGAAATCCAATGTCATGCTATCAGCACTTTAAGAAATTTAGCCGCGAGCTCAGAAAGAAATAAAAGAGCAATTGTAGATGCTGGTGCTGTAGAAAAAATCGGAGCATTAGTACTTAATGTGCCATTAAGCGTACAAAGTGAGATGACTGCATGTGTGGCTGTCTTGGCATTGAGTGGTAAGTTATTGTTATTATTGTTGTTTATTCATCGTTATTAATTAATGTAAGCTTTGGAATTCAATATTTTATTTTATATTTATTGGGATAGATGAATTAAAACCAAGATTGCTTAAGCTTGGTATATGTAAAGTATTACTTCCATTAACAAATTCAAAAAGTGTTGAAGTACAAGGAAATAGTGCAGCTGCACTTGGAAATTTATCATCAAAAAGTATTATCAAAAAAAATTTCATTTTTTAATTCTTCCCCTTCAAAATCAATTAATTCGTTTTTGTATTTGTTTTCCCAAGTACGAGATTACACACCATTTGTTAATGTGTGGGAGCAACCTCTTGGTGGTTTACATGGTTATTTACATAGATTCTTGGAAAGTTCAGATAAAACTTTTCAACATATTGCTGTCTGGACAATTGTTCAATTTTTAGAGGGCAGAGGTAAAATAGCGACTTTATTGTTATTATTTTATTGGAATTAATCATCATAAATAATTTTATTAATATTAATATATTAATTTTTATTTATTAGATTCACATTTACGTTCAAATATATCATCCTCAAAAACAATTGTTTCATCAATAGAGCGTTTAGCACGGTTTAGATCTGCATCTGATGGTGGCGAGGAACATTCTTCAGATGAGGAAGAATCAGATGAGGGTGAAATTGTTCAATTAGCTCGTAAAACATTGTCAATGGTACAATAATAACGATAAATTACTATTGTTGTCATGGCCTTTTTTCTGTAGATTACTTTAAAAAAATATATTTTTATATTTTTTATATTATATTTGTATATCATTAAATATTTCTATTCCTTTCATTAACTTAATATTAATATTATTTGCTTATTCTTTTTCTTCAATATTTTATATTCTTACATTTGTATTTATCACGACAAATCTACTATTATGATTATTTCTATAAAATAATTAATCAACTAAAATAAACTAATATTTAATAAAAAGTGTAAATGTCTCTAATTGAATTTAGACGGTATTTGAACACAATGATTAAATTAGAAATAATTATAATTTAGCTGTTAATAACATTACCATAATTCTCGACCAAAGAATTTTTTGTTCCTGATCAAAAACTTAAACTTTATTTTTTTTAAAAATCAAGAATAATTATCTTTTGAACATTTCATTTTAATATTAATAACGAATGATTTTATTCAATTAATGTCGATGATAGCCCTCTTTTATCAATTAACCAAACAGTCATGAAGATTGTATCATGAAAAACGAAGATAGGATAGGTATGTATGTGTATCATGAATTTGAAGATGGTAAACAGATATATGACATGCCCAAATAAAAATCGCTTTATCATCTAGTTTCCTTCAACGAAACAACAATCTATATAACAAAATACAAAATCAAACTTGTAATAATAATAATAATAATAATAATAATAATAACAATATCGGTAATTCCTCAATCAACCTAATTAAATCGATAACAAAATTGATAATAGCGGCACTCGACATCAGTAAGTTTGCGAAGGCATTAAGATATAGAAGGACTAGTATTGTGTTTATGTTTGAAGGATTTTTTGAAGGAAAAATGGTTCGTATTGAAGGTATTAAATATTTTGAATATACAAAATTAATTAGCCAGATAGAAATGTGAACAACGAAATCAACATTTGCAGGGAAATTGTATTTATTGGATGTTTGTTATGGGAAATTTTTAAGATTGCTTATACAAATAAACTTGTGAAATGAATTGTGAAAATCTAGGTTACAAATTACCAATCAATCGAAATATAATAGAGTCGTTTCTTTAACATTAATTTTAATACGATAAATTTAGAACAATTCTATAACGCGCAATCAAATTCGGGCGTGTAACAATGTGTACAGTTGTACAAATTAATTTATACAAATGTCACACCTTTATGGTAATCACACAGAAATGATAAAAGTTTATATATATAAAATATATAAAAAAAAATATAAAATATTTTTCATCTAATTCACTTTCAAATAATAATAAACTTTTTTTTATAAATAAAAAAAAATTTGGCACTTCAATACAAAACTCATTTCGAAATAAAGTTACTTGCTAACAATACATTAAAGTCAATTTTTGATCAATTTACAAAATTTTTGAATGCATTCCAACAAATTTCACACACACTTGACACAAACTAGAAATTTAGTATTGAAAAGAATAGCGTAAAAAGCATTTGTATAGAGAAGATTATATGAAAAACCGTAGAATATAAGTTAAAGACATATACAGTTAATAGAACAATAGACACATATATATTAGGTAGGGCTAAATATTACAAATTAACAAGTTGCAAAACTTTTTCCTATTTGCTTAAAAATATTTTATTATCATCATTATATATATATATATACCTATCTATTTATATACCTATTTAGATTATGATTTCATAATTAATATCCATTTACAAGATTATTACTTGATTAATTATAATATTAGATGTATAAGAATTTTTATTATTAAATAATAAATTATTTATTTACACACAAGAAAATTATATATTATTATTAAAAAAAAAAATTTTTGGAATACTAATTTTTTCTGATGCGGAATTATTTTTTTATTTATAGTGAGTGAAGTGAATTGAATTGAATTGAATGAAAAGAAAATAATTATATTAATCTTAGAAAAAAATAAGACTAAAAATCACATCACATCAATTAATCTGATGTAACACTAATTCACTCTGATGTAACACAATTGTGATAACAAAGAATACTTTTCACCATGATCGATGACCAATTGACAAAAAAATTAAGTACAATAGTAGCACCTAATCTTATAAAAAAACTAAATATTTAGATAGAAAAGAAAATATTCTAAAAGATAGAACAATATTTTTAAAAAAAAGTATGACTACCGAAACAAAAAAAAGAATAAACTATTTTTATGATTGTAAGTAACTATCTGATATTATTTTTTGTAAACTTTACAGAAA